AGCAGGAATTCAGAATCTCAATACTGCAACTTCAGCAAGCAGCTTTTTGTTTGGTTCTAAAAAATAAGACACTACTTACAGAGGAATAACCCATACAGAATATCTGATATAATGTTCAGAATGAGTTTTATCATGGTGCTCACTGAGGTCATGGAAACTCATGGCGTGCTCAGAGTGAAAAACCTCACTGGTGTTCTGCAGACATGGTTCATCCAGACAGCTGGCTCATGAGGACAAAAATGTGTGCACTGACCTGCAAAGTGCAAATCCCATACAGCAATGCAGCAGAAAGGATGTGTACTTGGTGCAGCGGTATTGTAAGCATGCAGCTAACCTTCCTGCAGATACTACTTTGTTCTACTTGTCTCTGTCCTGTAAAATTTACTAGAAATCACCATGCTAATATTCTAAGTGTAACTGTGATGTCAGTATAGACAAATACGGATTATGTACATGTTCCTAGTGTTGCATCATAGAATAGCTGCTGTTTAAAGACAATAAACATAAAACAGAATATGTCACAAAACAGGTAATAAAACTCTTTGTTTCTGCGCTAAGGAAAACAACCAGAATGCAGTGCATGGGAACACAGTCCACATACTCCACTTGCTCTGAGAACTGGAATTTACTAAGTGGGAAAGCTGACAATGGAGCAGGATACGAGGAGGAAAAGGTAGCCTTTAAAGTTCTCTGGTAAGTCCTTTTCCCACATTGACAGCACAGGTGTACAGTTAAAACTATAGCTTCTGAACATGCCTAAGTGGTTTTGGCTAAATTCCATGGTTATCAGTAATAAGGATAAGAGAAATAACTAGGCTTGCCTGATTTCTACGTAATCCTCTGTACAGACTTTATTCCCTTCCAAGGTGAAGTTGGTGAAGCGCAGCACAATCTGTCTGTTTATTCCCACTGTGATGGTGTATATGCACTCTGTCCGGACAGGGTAGTTATTGGGATAGTTTGGAGATGTCAGCACACCAGTTTCAGTACTGTAGTTGTGTGAGCACACTTTAAACAGAAAAGAAACAAGTATGACTTAATTTAATACGTATGCTAAATTAAGAGGAAATTTCTATTTTCAACAGACAAAGGAGCAAACAGCCTGTGCTCCTGTGCATGATAACTCTTCCTGGACACATCTTACTGCTGAATATCATCACTACAAACTAAAACCAGAATCAAGCTTTTTCATGGGATTTCTTATATTTGAGTGGATTTGTTCAGCTTTTACCAGAACACTGTGCCTGTAATAAACAGGCAGCGTAAGAGTAGTTCCAGCTGCCTAAGTTGGCTTTGACCTAAAACCCAGGTAAGCAGAGAAAGGAAACTGGAAGGGATGTCTTGATCAACACAAAAGGCAGGATTCCTGAATTTCTGAAAAACAGTGGTGGTGGAAACCGAATGCAGTCTCTAGCTATGAGGAAATGCTCTATTGTTCTCAGGCATTCCCCATGATCAAACCTGGGAGATGGGGATTTTAGATCTAAATTTCTTCTCCCATTTTCTGGGCTATAAGTGACAATCAGTTGGAAAAATGGTATAATCCTTAGACTGTGAGGACAAAGAAGTTCTACTTAAGGTCTTAAACTAAAATCAGCTACATCAATTCTTCTGTGAGCACTGTAGAAGCATCTTGATATTATGAGCTGGAAAGAAGAAAATAGTGTGGACTAATGCTGAGCCAGAACCTGAGCAATAATTAAAAAGAAGCTCTTTCGAAAGCACAGACATAAGGACTAGGAATAAAAAAATCTGCTATAAAATGGTACATGAGACTTATTTTGGAGAGAACTGTTGTGTATTAGTTGATCAAGGTCTGAGTAAGGTTTGTGATCTGTCTGCAAAAAGGGCAAGAAGAAATATGATCCATGTCAGGTGTTTTCAGTCGAAACAGGGAATCTTGATGCCACTGCGCGAGGCAATGGTGACATGCACCTGGAAAAGTGTGGATAACCATGGTTACTGATGTTCTGGAAATCAAATGAGAACAAGTAAAACAGTGGAGATAGCGGGAAATTAGTAAATTAGTAGGCAAGAGACACTAGAAGAGCTTAACTTGTTTAGCTTAGCAAGTGCAGGAGAAAAAGACAGAGATAAACATCAAGAAGCATGAAGAAAAGAAAAATAGAACACACTCTCAATGATAGTACAAGCTCTGAAGTTAAAAACTGTCCACGAATACAGATACACAGAAATTAAGAAAAAATTTCTATCAGGAACTGAGTTTCTAGAGCAATCATCCAACCAACATAACAGATGCAGAAAGGGGAAAAAGTCCACTGTTTTTTAAGATACCATTTGAGTAATTTAATTAAGAATGGGATCACATTATGCAGCTCTTGGCAAAAAAAAGGGGGTAGGGGATAAAACTGTGGGCTGGATTTGGTGACCCTGGAGGCTCATTCTGGTTCTCCATTCCCCTGTTTCAGGTCCTACAGGTTGCAAATATAAGAAATGAAAGTAGATTTCTTAAATACTTTCTATCAAATAGGCAGGGTTAGACTAATTATAAAGTACAACTGAAAGAGCAAGCAAAATATTATGATTAATTTTATACTCATTTAAGCTGGTTGGCACAGATCTCAAACCTGTTTTCTAATGTAGCACAGCTGCAGTGTAGTAATACTTGTGCTTAACAGTTCAATAGGCATAATAATTTAGGGGGAAGGGATGAAATTACAGTTCAGGCCCTCCATGTTTAAGGTTGGTCATTCCCATGTCTGTTCTCCATCCATTCTAACTACTAAAATGCTTTTGATTTTAATGGTGGCTTTTTTAATGGTGTTTTTTTGCATTCTTGTTCACCTGGAAGGCCTCTGTTGAAAATGTTTTCTGTGGGATAAATACCCCCAAAGCTAGCTACTAGACTCATGCTCCTCATTCATCACAAGAACAAAGAAACATGACACAGAAACAGGCCAATAATTTTCTGCCATTGGGTTTCATGCACTACTTTACCTAAAATCATGATCTATTAAAGTCTTTATCTAGAATTTTAGTCATTTGTGTGTTCCATCACAGATACACTCTAATGTATGTATGTAACAATCAGGTTAGTCCTGGTCACCTTAAAATCCTTGTACTGCTTTAGAAATCCTTATGATGCCCTTGCTGTGCTGCCAGCTCCCATGGTGTTTCATGATATGTAGGGTTTATCATCAATCCCAGATCCTTAAGTCATGATTTATTGAGAACCCTGGCTGCAGGGTTAGAAATCTGACTTAGGAATATGACCCATGTTTTTCCTAATGGCTCATTACATAAAAAGCAATAAAAAATGAAAATTAAAATGTGTGTATATTTATTAGCTTACTTATTTTAAGTAATTATTTCCTCCTGATTTTGGAAGGATGGGTGCTTGACTTATGCACATTAATGGTTAGAGGAATTGCAATACTGCCACTCCTTATTCACTCAGAGGCTGAGACCATGAATACTAGCTTTCAGCCTGGAGAATATTAAAAATTATGTACTAGATAAGGGCCCTTAGGGCAAAATTAGCAACACAGAAGTCAAACCACTTTTATCAGCCCTTTTAAGAAAAATTTCCACAGAATTGTTCAGGTTCTTTCCCTCACCAAAGTTTGCTTTCTTGGGAGTAATCCGTACAGAAACTCATATCCCAAGTGTGCTATTTTAAACTGGATGCTGTATACTACTCTACACTTCACATAACAATCTTCTTTATGAGCTAAGGGGGATAAATACAGAAGGTGGAACAGTGACTGCCTTAGAAATGTCGGACTAGTGGCTATAGTGAAATAAATCCAAGTGTAGAGTGAGTATACGCTGCTATGAGGATCAGGAAAAGCATAAATGAACCCATGTTTTTTGACAGCTAACTCTCTTCTGGTAAGTGGAATCATTTGCTGTG